GGACTGGTCCTGCCAGGGAGCGTCAGTCGGAGGAGGAACTTTTGCTCAGGGCTGTGTGGTGTGATGAGCAGGATGGAGGCTGGGTCCTGGGGTTGCCTCAGCAGGCAGGAGGCCAGCTCAGCCCGTCAGTAACTGCATCCTTGGTGCGTGCAGCTTCCAGGGCTCAGCCCACACTGACGCAGCCGTCCTCGGTGTTCGTGCTGCCCGGGCAGACCGCTTGGCTGCCCTGCACCCTGAGCCCCCCGTACAACATCAGCGAGTTCGGCATCTCCTGGTACCAGGAGCGCCCGCGGCACTTCCTGAGGTATTTGCTCTATTACAACTCTGAGCATGACCAGCACAAGTCCGACAGTACTCCCGGCCGCTTCTCTGCTACCAAAGATCTCGCCAGCAACACCTGCATCCTCATCATTGCATCCATCCGCCACGAAGACAACGGCAGCTACTACTGCTCCCTCTCACACGCCTTCAGCTGGTTTTAGAAACGAGGAACAAAATCTTTCTGTGTTTTCCCTTGCAACCCTGATGCTAAGCCATCAACAGGGAGGACAACAGCCCTAGGAGGAATGGAGAAAGGCACTCTTGCATGCTTGAGCAAGCCCAGCAACGCTGCACTGTGCTTGTGAGGTGCAGCAACCTCCTTTGACCCCAAATGTCCCCCACAGAGCATCAGACAGACCGATATGGTGTGAGACCTGCCAGGGCTCAGCCCAGGAATACATGGGAGCAGCGACCTCCTGTTGCAGTGGGAGGATGAAGAGCTGTGCCGTGGCCTGGCTCTCCTCAGCTCTTCCAGCACTTGGCACAGCATGGGCTTGACCCCGGCTCAGGCTTCTGCGCAGTTCGGCTCACTTAATAATAAAGGTTAATCCTCGGGCATGTGCCTCGTGTCCTGGCAGCGCTGGGTTAGTGGTTGGACTCCATGACCTTTGAGGTCTCCTCCCACCAAGACGGTTCTATGATGCCACAGATGCAGAGCCCCGAGGAGCACCCCAGGTGTCCTCGGCAGGGCTGCCTCTGCTCTGGGGTACCCGAGTTGGGAGCGTGGGCCAGAGGCACGCAGTGGCGCCAGGTTCGGTGGCATCTCCCGGGCCTGGATGGAGCTGTGCCACCCACACGGATCCCCGGCCGCACGGCGGGG